TGGTTTTCCTTAGATAGAAAACTTTTAATCAATGATCTGGTGAACTGGAAAGTGTTGTGAATTGGAGCTATAGAAATAAACTGAATAGAATGGAGTCCTAGTCAAAGGTGGAGTGTTTTGTTCAGGTTGTGACTGATCAGCTTTTTCTTTTTTAGATGTTTCCACTACAGGAAGACAGACGTAAGGAAAGCCTCCATCAGACTCTTCATAGTGGTTGTCTTCTGGCTGATCTTCACTGCTCTCATGGTTTCCTATGGAAAGATCGGCCAGAAGCTCCTAAAGAGATCCCATCAGAATTCAAATCTGCCTAATGCGTCCCACTACAGCCGAATCGCCAGGAAGTCCTTCTTCATCCTGTTCGTGTTCATCGTCTGCTTCGTTCCGTACCACATTTTCCGAGGGTTTTACATAAAAACCCAGATCACAGAGAGCAGCTGTTACTGGAGGAACCTGGCTGATAAATTCAATGAGATTTCTCTGGTCTTCTCTGCTTTGAACAGCTGCCTGGACCCCATCATGTTCTTTCTGCTGTCCGCCTCAGTGAGGAGGGAGGTGCGGCGCTTCATGAACAGCATGTTTCGAACCCGGGTCAGCAGTGAAGCCAGTGGGGGGAACACCACCTCAGAACTAGACAGCAGGAGACCTTCAAAGGACCCCATGGTCAGAAACCTCACTGAGAGGGAAGAACGTTCATGCAGCTCTAACTGAGCCCAGAGACGGCTCAGGGTGGTCCACCTTTGACCTGAAGACACCATGGGGTCACCATGGACAAGTCCAAAGGACAGGGTCACCATGGACAAGTCCAAAGGACAGGGCCACCACGGACAAGTCCAAAGGACAGGGCCACCACGGACAAGTCCAAAGGACAGGGCCACTGCGGACAAGTCCAAAGGACAGGGTCACCGCGGACAAGTCCAAAGGACAGGGCCACCACGGACAAGTCCAAAGGACAGGGTCACCGCGGAGAAGTCCAAAGGACAGGGTCACCACGGACAAGTCCAAAGGACAGGGCCACCGCGGACAAGTCCAAAGGACAGGGCCACCACGGACAAGTCCAAAGGACAGGGTCACCGCGGAGAAGTCCAAAGGACAGGGTCACCATGGACAAGTCCAAAGGACAGGGTCACCGCGGAGAAGTCCAAAGGACAGGGCCACCACGGACAAGTCCAAAGGACAGGGTCACCGCGGAGAAGTCCAAAGGACAGGG